TGCTCCCTGCTCTGGGCTCCTGACTTTTTCTGCAGCATTTGTTACTCCTTGGCTCCTTGTTACTGCTGCTGTCTTTCAGCCACCCCCCTGATCTTAGGGCAGGTGAGATCTAACACTTAGCCTTCTCAAATAAGGGCGAAAAATCTTGGAGGCCTCGTGTGCTAGTTATATATGCATGTTAAAGATCCCTTGGTGGTCCTAAAATCGATAAGATTAGGCTTCTGCAGCTACCCAGGCAAAATTCGAAATTTTTTACCACACTGAAAATGCTTTTAATGTGTCCCGCGTGCTCACGTCATGATCTTTATAATGCAGTTGCGAGCACCGTAAAACACATATATATATACCATCCATCCCCCCCCCCCAAAATCCCAACAAAAACTGCCCCATCTGACACTACCTGCCAGACTTTATGTGACATATTTAGTTCACTGGGTTTTTTTTTCCCCTTTATTTTAGGTCATCAAGTCCATGGTGGATCGATTCACGCCCTTACACTCCTACAAGATCCACGAGTCTCCATGGGATATTGCCGCCAGCTGGGTTGGCCCGCGTCAGATTCATCGTGAAAATGCTCCCCAACTAGGTAAGAACTTGATTTGTACATGCATGCATATATGTGTTACGTTTCATTCATTCTTCTTTTCTGCCTTTAATTTTTATAAATCATTTTAGATGTTGTGGAGATTTTGAAGGGAAGTTTTCTTGGGGTTCGGGACGTAGGGATTCAAGTGTTTCTACCTTGTCACTAACTGTGCGCTCATGGAGAATGTCAATATTTTCCTGTTAAACTGATTCTTGTTTTTAAACTGGCAATATCTTGCATAAAAATTTTTTTTTTGGGTTCTTTCTAGTTTGAAAGAGTTTCTTGATAGTGGATTTCTTAGTTTAGTTTAGAAAGAGTTTTACCGCACTCTCAATTGCACAAGGTCATATGAGCACGTGAGTAGGAGATTTCTGCTCTGATTTGTCAACCAAAGTTCTGTGTCCTCAATTGTCCATCCTCTGTTTTAGGCTCCCTCTATCTCTGTCTCTCTCTTTCTCTCTCCCTCTCTCGCTATCTCTCTCTTTTCTCTCTCTTTTCTCTGTCTATCTCTCTCTTTTTCTCTCTCTCATTCTCACTCGCTATTTCTTCAGTCTCACAGTCTGGCATACACATGGCATATATATCACAGTACATCATTTCCCCCAAAATATGGTTGCAAAGTGTTAATAAATCTTTTTCCCTTATCAAGAAAAGGACATTCAAATTACGACAAGTGTATAATTATGGAAGAGGTCAAGTGGCATGTTGAAGGGAGTAATAATATCCTTCTTATTTTTTGTTATTTGAAGAATTTTGCTTTTATCATAGAAATTATGCATTTAGTGTGGTTGATTTTTATTCATTTACTCAAAGTGGTTGTATAACTATTGTCGAAACAGTTCTTTGATATGACTGAATGAGGAGGTTTTTGGATTTTGTTGATAGTCTTGATATTCTCTCTCTATTTTTTTCCAATCTTTTTGTTGTTCAAGAGTCAGTTTATATGTCTTTTTTAGCAAAAATTAAAAATCAAATAACTTCACTGTGAAGTGATGCACAGTGGAAATGGTTCACTTACCATCATATTGACAGGATACAGAAAAGTATGGTAATATGATATA